AAGATTTATGAAGTCTGTTTGATTACTTAAATTGGATCAAAAACTGAAACAAAAACCTAAGCACATTACCAAATAAAAGCCTACCTCATTTGATATTCACTAAGAATAATTTCTGACTCAATATTTTGTATACAAATGAGGAGGGAGTGTTATTGTTCTAAAAGTTCACTTTTCTTAAAACTGACTTTCCTTCCTGAGGTGTTTCTTTCTCACAGTTTTTCTTCCTCAATAACAAATGCCCAAATCCTTTATAAATTATCTCTAATTAGGGCTGGAGAGGTGGCTCAGCGGTTAAGAACACTGGTTGTTTTTGCAGAAGGCCCAGGTTTGAATCCCAGCACCTACAGATGGCAGCTAACAACTGTCAGTAACTCCAGTTCCAGAGGATCCAACAGCCTCTTCTGTCCTCTGCGGGCAATGAATGACACAGGTGCACTTACCTACATGCAGGCAATACATACATACACATAAAAATAATAAATTAGAAATATATAATTTTTTTAAAAAAGAAAACATTTTGCTACATTTAGGAACTCTGGATAGCTTCAAATTTTCTGACTCTTCTTCAAATTTTATTACCTTACTACATAAATAAAAATAAATTATTTTTCTTTGAATTTCTTCATAGCATTTTAAAAAAGAGATCCAATTTGACTACAAAAAATTATCTCTATGAATTGAATTAATGAAAGTTTAACACTTAATGTGATCTTGAAAAATAATACAGATAAACAATACATTGTCTATTTGGACAAAAACTGTATATTAGTCAGCTTTGTGTAACTGTAACCAACTACTTTCAAAGAGGAAAAGTGTTGTTTGGGCTTACTACTTCCAAGGTTTCTATCCATGATCCCTTGACTGTTGTTTTGGGCCTGTGATAGTACATGATGGTTGCAGTGAGTGGAAGAGGATCCTTGCTCACTTCATAGCAGCCAGAAAACAGAGGGGAGAAGAGAGGTCAGAACCCCAATGTCCCCTCAAGGGCACTCTCTCCCAATTACCTAACTTCTTCCCACTAGGCTATACCTCTTAAATGTCTCACCACCTCCCAATAACAGGACAGGATAGCAACCAAACCTTTAACACATGGGCTTTTGGTGGATATTCCAGATCCAAACTATAACAATATATGAGTAAAAATTAAAAAATGAATACTTGATTAGATAGAAGCAAAGTACATGCAGACTCAGAATGTCTCTCTATATATCTCTATATCTTTCTCCTAATCAACACACAAGGATTTCTATTACAGCCTAAATGTGTATCTAATTTTGGTATGGTTTAGACATTTCTGCTATGCAATTCCTCATATTATCCAGAAAAAAAATATACTTGAATAATAGTTGTGCTTCTTATGGTCAATACAGTTGTGTAAACACATTGTTTCTCTACTTCAGGAGCTGTTCTAGAGGTAGAGTAAATCACGTGAGGAGATAGAAGCCAGCCCCAGGGGTGCTATAGGAAGACTCAAGCAAAGACACTGGTCCCTCCATTTCACTGGCCCACCAAGCCTAAATGTAAGTGTGAAGGGTGAGGGATAACAGGGCTCGGCCATGGCATAGTCCACAGGTGAAGCAGCCACTTGCTGCCACTGAGCACATAGGCAACTAGACAGAAGGTTCCCAGCCTGCCTGCAAGTCCTACTGTCCTGTCTCACATCCCATCTACATTGCTGCAGAAGACTAGAGACCATCAGTAACACCAGGTTTTAAATCCCCTATAGTCAAAATACAGAGCACAAGTCTAGCTGGTTTTGAAGTCCAGGCATGTTGAAATAGAGTCTTAAAATAATCATTTCCATAGGACTTAACTAGGTATCCAAGTGTTCACCAGATGCTAGCAGCTAGATTTTGCAGAGGAAAATAGCTAACTTAAGCTTCTTTTCATGATTCAGCAGAGGATTTTAAGTAATAAAAGAGCTGGAGATTTGTAAAATAAATAATTCCAGTGCAATTGGGAAAATGAAAACAATCTTATCATCTCTCAGACATGTCTATATATGTTTTTCTACCATTATCATATTTATTTTAATTGGACCAATTTTTTCCAGCTGATATATTATAGTTTTAAGTTATGAGTTATAATGAAGAAATGATTCATTTCAGATGACCGAAGAATACGTACTAAATTTTCCCAAAGACAATCTAGGATGATTGAAACAGAGCATGATATAACCAATATGGTTTTATTCACATGTGATATTCAGTATATCCACAGTGAAAAATAATAACAGCATGCCAGAATCTCTTCTATTCCTTAATTGATGTTTCAGTAGAAAGCAATAAAAATGTAAAGTACATCATTAACTTTTGAACTTTGATGGAAAAAAGCTCTAGAGCATACCATCCATTTCTGACAAGTAGACATTATCTCATAGTACCCACAGCCATCCTGTGCTTATGACTACTGCCTGGTTTTAAGTGTGACTTTTGGACATACGGCTTGAGATTTCCTAATATGTACCAGTACAATGACTTTTTTACAGTCTTTCTATTTCATAATTGAAAGACTGAATCGTTAAGATCCTTCAGACTTCTTGTGCTCCTGCTGGAGGTACATCTGAACAAAAAGAGAAGCACTGCATCTAACCCTATGGTCAATGTCACATGGACACTTCCTATCTAGAATGAATCCATTCAGAGCACCTGGAGGAATGTAAACACTTGAATGATTTTACTAAGGTATTACATTTTTAACATAGATACTTCCAACTATTTTGGCCAGATTCCATCAAAGCCAAATATTCCCAAAATAAAATGTTTATAATGCAAAGCCATTGAATAAAATAGTCTTGTTTATTTAAGAAGCAGACTGTAGGACTCAAGTTGATCAAGGATGTTGGAGAAACTGGTGAAAAGAGGCATTACATGGGTTGCTCAGTTTCTGGGTTAGGCTGTGAACTCAGTCCAGAGAAAACCTGTGGTTGTTAGAACCAACTACATACTCAGATTCTAGATGTCTTGTAACAAAATCTTGCTGCCAAGGGCGTTGATGGGCTCACCCAGTAAAAAAGTGCAATAATGATGTTCAACTAAATCATAAAAATGCAGAAGGTGGTTATTACAGGGCAGAGGAGAGGAACTGCTTGTAAAGTTATGGTGGAAATATCAAAAATACATTTTATTGGACTTTTTAAAAATTAAGCTCTTTGTTTTTAAACTAAGGTGCAAAGCAATAAAATGTAAAGGTTACTCAATAAACTATTTCATTCAAAAACCAAGAGCAGTGATTCAGCAAGTGAAAATAAAAACTATATTTATCCAATATGGTCAATTCAGGAAGGTATGAAGCTTTATTCAACAGTTTTCTAATGAAAATAACCAGCTCAAAGTCATTGTAAAGAATTATACTTGAAAAAATAATAAAGAATTTTTTAGTATTCTCTTTTTCTTTGTCAAAATGAGTATACTTGAAAAAATAATAAAGAATTTTTTAGTATTCTCTTTTTCTTTGTCAAAATGAGTATGCTTATACTTAATTTCACGTATTACTAAAACTGTTTTATATAGTTGTTAAGTTCTGTGAAGATGTTTATTTTACACAAATGTAGAAAATAGTCAAAACATGTAAATATAAGTTTAGTGATAGATACACAATTAGACAAAGAGAAACAGATCATGAAAGTAATCCTGTATGCCCTTCAAAATTGCACAAGGCAGCTTTCTAAAATATTTTTAATCACCTAGATATCTTTCATGATCATCTTTTTACCTTCCAAAGCATAGATTACTTAACCATATATCATAGACGTTTTGGTAGACAGATTTTATATTTTCCTTAAGTTAAATAGCATATCTGTAAGTGACAATAATGGTAAAAACAAATTCCTTTTGTCTGTTATATATCCACACATTTAATGCCTTTCATACAGTAAACACTGAATAACAAGGACTAAACCAACATATTCCCACTTTCTGCTGATCATTAATGTGCCTCTTAGATTCACACTGTAAGAGGTAGTGTTTCACACATGGGAATTAATGAACTACATCTGTAACCAAAAATATTCATGGAAAACCTTCTGAATTGATTCATAACTGTTTTATTAATCAAGTCCACTACAGAAGGATTTTCTGTGGTTGGCTATATTTTGGAGATAGAGTAGAGAAACCACATTTCAATTGAAAAGTTGTTTGAAACTTTGAACAACATGGGATTTTATATTATATGACACCAATAAAGTCCAGTCCTTGATGGCTGTAATTCTGAATATATAAGTAAATATCTTTATATATTTTACTGAAGAACATTATGACAGTAACTGTTCGATATGGAATTTACTTCTCAATGCCACTCTCCTTTTTCCTCAATTAATTTTTTAAATAAAAAGACTTCTGAAAAAGTAAAAATTTTAAACTAGCTTGATATGAACAGCTTTTAGCTAAAGCAAATGGCTCGAAGTCAGGGGTCCAAGACTCTTTCCTTGATTTTTCTACCAACTTGGAATGTGGCCTTGAGCAAGCCATGAGAACAAAATCTACAATCAAAGAAGTAATAATGCCTCACATGTGCATGGTGCTTTTTGATCTAAAAATGCACTTTCACATACAATACCTAATTTAATCTCACCTTCAGCCTCCTGAGAACAGTATAGAGTTATTAAAAATCTCCATTTTAAAGAGTAGGATTTAATACCCAGAGAGCTGAGTCACTTGTTCACAGTCATATCAATACCAAATGCCAGAGCTAGAAAACACATGTATATTCAAGGTTCTGGGCTGGTCTTTGTCTTTCCTCTCTACCATGTAGTTTTGTAGGTAATTCACATTTTTCTATGGGACAGTGCTAGGACAGAGGACTCCAATGTTCAGTGCTTATAGTACTGATTTCATATCACTAGATTGTATGTGCACCCGCCTTGATGTAGCCTATACTAATTTCCTGAATTCCATCAGGGTATAACGTAGATTAACATCAGTGGTCCAGCCATTCTTGTACATCTTTTACATTCAGGAAAACATCAGGCTTCACTATTTGATGCCTCAAATTGCTCATTCATTAGAAGGGTTCATTGTATACTTGTTTAATGCTTGAAAGGCTTAGAAGCAAAAATGTCATCATAAATTATAGAGATCTGTAGTATTGCTTTTGTTCTGTTTTTGTTTGTTTCATTTCATTTTGTTATGTCTAAGACAGGGCCTCCCTATAGCTCCAGCTGGCCTAAAGTTCATTATGTAGCCAAGGCTATCCTCGATCTCTCAGAAATCTGCCTGCCTCTTGAGTGCTGAGACTAAAAGCATGTCACCACACTTAGCTTTAACACTACTTATTTTAAAATATATTCCCTGATAAACATTATGAGTGAAAAATATCTCAGACTGGTAAGTTAATATAGGCAAAGTAAAAGAATAATTATATATGAATTTGTTATCTAGTAAATTTTAAAATATATTATTTATTATTTTTATTTTATGCATGAGTGTATTCCTGCATGTATGTAAGTGCACCCGTGTTGCGCCATGCCCACAGAGGTCAGAAGAGAGCACCAGATTCCCCTGGAACTGGAGTTACAGATAGTTTTTAGCCACTGTGTGGGTGCTGGGAACTGAACCCAGGTCCTCTGAAAGAGCATCCAGTGCTCTTAACTGCTGAGCCATCTCTCCAGCTTCCCTTTTTAATGTATTTTATTTATTTGGCAAATTTTATCCTCCCTATCATTTCTTTCAGATATTATATGTTTAATTCCAAAAGAAGTAGTTTTTCTCTATTTTGGTAAATCTAACTGAAAGTCCTCAAAATGCATATAGTAAAGAAAATAACCAAAACACAAAAAGTTAACATTTATTAATCATTTACTGTGTGGGCTCAAGTCCTACTCTAAAAGCTAATAGTATCTCATCTAACCTCCATAGGGATTTGAAAATGAACAAGAAGCAGAAAGCAAAGTTTCTAACTACTATTACTTTGTATTTCAATGCTACTTGAAATTGAAATACAACCTACCAGGGCAGTATTGGGTAATTAATTCAATTTTGTTCATTTCAGCTCCATAAGTGTTTACATAGTAAATACAGCGGGCCAGTGACCATCTAAATACTATGGTAACACTGATCAAAAATACTGAAAATCTGTTCCCAAATAGTACACCAGTTAGAGTAGGCTTGGGAACATGTTTCTGAACAGTGTACACTCTTACTCACATTCTACAGGGCTTCTTTGCATATAGAATAGAAATCTTTATAGCCCCAGTTCCTAGTGGGTTTAAACTTAGCTATTGTGTATAAAACAAATAGATATAATGAACATATATACATATATAATGAACCTTATAAGTTTTCTTTCTTATTTGGAAAAAAAGTAGGTTTAAACTACCTTAAATCTTTCCTAAAATAAATAGTGATGGAAAAAAAATGAACAAAGTAAACGTAAATCAGGATGGCACTAAAACTGCAAAACCAGACACCTTTTACAGTGTCATTTACATGATAAAGGTACAGATTAAAAGTATTGTGTATAGGTTGGGTGTGGTGGCACATGGCTTTAATCCCAACACTCAGGAGGCAGAGGCATGTGGATC